TGTTGAGGGCTGTCCACTATTTCTAGACTGTATTCCAGCTGAGAAATTAATATTTTTAAGAGAAAGGAGCCAGGCACTCAAAATCACAGCTACTCAGAAGGCTGAGGAAGGAGGATTGCAAATTCAAACCCAACCTGAGCAACTTACTGACAGCCTGTCTCAAAATATTTTGAAAAGGCCAAAGATGTAGCTCAGTGATACAGCACTTGCTTCACATGAGTGTGTCCCTGGATTCAATCTCTAGTATTGCAAAAACATTAACTTAAAAAAAAAACAGACAAAAAATACATCATGTGTTCATACTGACATTTACAGTTTAAACTTGGGATTACAGAATTTTTATTTAACTTTTGATTTATATTTTTGTATCTTGTTATGCTGAAAATATTGGCTTCAAACATTAAAATAACTATTTGAATATATACACATATATTTATATCTTCAGAATAACCATACCAACGCTATTACTAACAAAATAATTACTGAAAACAGTGAAATTTCTTTGCAGTTTTTGTTCCCAGAACACATCCCACTAAAGATGTACATTCAACTACTATTTTTCTCTTGACAACTGTGAAAAATGTAACTTAAAATAAAGTCACCTACTTAAAGTCACTTAAAATAAGTCCTCTCTATATAAGCCACCAACTTGATACGTATTTCAGTTCACTTGTTTTACTTTGCTTTTAAGGACTGTGCTCTTATTTGGACTGAAGTTAGCTTTATAATCATGTATAATAAACACAATTTCCAAGTCAAATATACAAAACATATATTGTCAAATAAAGCCGGGACAGAGACTTTCAAACTCAATTTGAAATCCAGTCTGGAAATTGAGACTCTGGACTATTCAGTCTATGGAAATCCAGTCTATGGACTATCCACAGTCCATAGTCTAGGACAGTGGTAGCAAACCTTTTAGAGCTTTTGGGGATAACCAACAGCCTGGTAGCTGCAGCATGGATGCCATAAGTTCACCACCACTGGTCTAGAAGATCAATGAACTTTCAGATCTCTTCTGGCCAATGCAAAAACCTTGTACCTTCATTATCAGGGCAACTAAAATTAAGCAAAGATACTGGTTTAAAACTAGCTTTTTAAAAAAGTGCATGGTTTTCCCTGAAACTCAGGTGGCTCAAAAGATTCCTTTGTTTCCTGTAATGCTTGTGACAGAAACCAGAACAGGATGAGAGAGCCACAGGCTTTCACTAACTGCCTGTGCAAGGGCTGGAGGGCAAGTCTGCATTGTAAGCACTCTCCACTCATCTCTTAACAGCTTTCCAACCAGCTCTGCAATGCTCTCAGGAGTTGTGCTTTCCCAAACTTTCCAGGGGGAAGTTTCTCTCTTTCTTGTCATTTAGGCCAAGCACTGAAACGCCACTAGACAGCTAGGAGCCAAAGGAGCAGGCTGAGAACTCAAACTTAGAATATGGAATAGGCAATAGAGGATCCAAGACTCTGCTTCTGCAGCTCACAAAGAGCCGAGGTGCTTCGCTTCCCAACCTACATCTCTGCTCTTACCTCCATCACCCAACCATGCTCCTCTGACAGCTCCTTTAAATTTGGCCCTTCTTCAAAATCAGACCTGAATTCAGAAGAGCTTTAAGATGCAACCCTGTCCTTGTGGTGCTCTCCAGAAAGCCACCAGATAGCACAAGAGGACCTATTTGCTTTCCCTGATCCCACCCTGAGGGGTGCTTGGATTACTAGTGTGGTTGTTATGTCCCCAAACTTGCCAGTGTGGCTCAGCAGTATCCTAAGAGCTTCCTTTCTGTCAGGTCCACAGTGTCCAGAAAAGCTGTCAAGAAAAAGAGGGCAGGTATTCCTGCCCTTTGGGGGCCTTACAAATGCTCTGGCCAACTAGATTCATATTCTCAGGAATATACATACTCTAGCGTCTGAGAACCCCTTCTCAGAATGCCTATGGCCAAGGCAACAGAATCACTAGCAACAACTGGGAATGGTCTTCTCTGTTAAAGATCATCAGGGCAAAAAAAAAAAAAAAAAAAAATTCATCAGGGCATAGCTACTACTGGTCCCCTCACAAAGCCTTTTAGGTGATTAACATTTGTGATGAAACCCAGTGCAAATCATTGCTGAACTTCCTCATAGACAGGAAGTAACCAGCAGGTAAAGTGTCCTATCTCCACACCTGGCCACTAAAGCTAAAGATTCCAAAAGTTTGTCCAGGCTGGTGAGTTCCTGTCAACATCAAACCCTGGCAACCCCCGGCTGGTTCCCCCAGCTGGCAAACGATTGGCAAGAAAAGTATACTCCTGGGGGTGGGATTTAGCTCAGTGGTTTCGCTGCCTGCTGTACAAGCGCAAGGACCTGAATTCGATCCCCAGTACAAAAAAAAAAAGAAAGAAAGAAAAGTATACTCCTGGATGGGTATTCATCAAAATGCTGCATAATGGGGCAGGTGTGGTGGTGCACAACTGTAATCCCAACACTCACTAGGGAGGCTAAGGGAGGAGGTCTACTGGGCTACATAGTGAGTTCAAGGCCAGCATGAACTACATAGTGAGACCCTGTCTCAAAAAAACAAACAACACCCCCCCCCGAAACATTGCTGCACAGGCTGTAAAGTGCCAGGCTGCCACCAGACAGCTTGACCTTACTGAGCCAGGTTGTCCAGGCTGAGCAGTGGCTCCCAAGAGAACCCCACTCTGTCTCCTCCACATTTCCAAAGGCTTTCTCAGGTAGGCACGGACCAGAAGATGAAAGCGCCTCCCTCATCCTATGACACCTTCAGGAGAAGACTGTCTGGGTCAGAGACCAGCTAAAAAAACAGCATCCTCCCTCCTAGCCCTCCTTCCTGGATGAGAGAGTCAAAGTGTGAGTAAACTCAAAGATCCTCTCTTTAGATTCCTCTAGAAGACTACTAAATAAAAATATTAACAATGTGTCATGAGTTTTATAACATATATAATAGTAAAACATATGACAACAATAGCAAGAATGATCAGTGGTAGAAATGCCGCTATGAGCTCCCATTCTTACACTGTATGTGAAGCATTGCAGAATTACTTCAAGGCAGACTATGCAATACACTAAGGATGCTTATTGTCATCCCTATCCCTAGAGCAACTACCAAAACATAACACACACAGGTATAACAAGAAAGTAAAATGGAATTCTAACCAATTGGAACATGGCCACGTGATTTGCTTTGGTCAGTGAAATCTGAGTAGGTGTGGCATGTCACTTCTGAGTGGAACATTGGGAAGCCAGGACTTGTAACCCTGGATGCTCCCTCTCTTTGTGCTGAGCTGGCTGCATCACAGATGGTGGCTGGTGGACTCTGTGGCACAATGCATTCCACACCTGCTCAGCTTGCTGACCTCAGACCTGCAGCACAAGAAATAAACCTTGAATTAAGCCTCTGAGGTTTTTGGTGCTGAATACATTTGAATTCCTGGAATAAAAATCCATTTGCTCATGATGTATTATTTTTTAATGTGTTGCTGGATTATTTGAAAATAACTGACTTGTGGTTTCTTCATTGATACTTTTGAGATTAAGCTGTTGTTTTCTTGCATATGCACGAAGTATTGGATTTGGGCAGTAACCACACACTCCCTACCTTCAAATAGTCTGTGACCAGTCTCCTATGCTCTAAAGAAGCTTCAGGAACACTGGGTGTCTTGGCTAATAGAATTCTGGGTCTCAACTGGGCCTGGTGCTTTTAGGGGAAAGAGAAGGGGAGCTCTGGGATTCTCGAGTTAATAGAAATGTCTGTTTTTACTTTTGTCTCTTGAGAGGGTCAGTTTGGATTAAGTAACGTTTTTCCAGAGATCTGACTACTTCATCTAGATTTTCTAATGTACTTACAAACAGGCAAAGTAGATGATTTATTTCTTTTGATGATTATTTCCTTAATTTGTGTATTTGTACTTTCTCTATTCTCAATCAGGTTTTCTACTTTTAATTCCCCCCTCCCACACTGGAAATTGAACCCAGGGCCTTTGCACTGAACTGCACCCTATCCCTCTTTTGAGAGAGGGTCTTACTAAGTCGCTCACGCTGGGCTTGAACTTGGGATCCTCCTGCTTCAGCCTCCCAGAATGATGGGATTACAGGCATGTAGCACTGAGCTCGGCTTGGGCTTTCAAACTTTATTCATCTATTTTACCATTTCTGCTATTACAGCCTTATTTATCTATTTTACCATTTCTGCTTTGTAACTGTTCAAGTTTTTACTTTCTAATAATAGACACTGGTGTTAAAAGCTCTGATGTTCATTCTCTTGAGGGAAAAAAGTACAATGTCAAAAAAGTCTGGTGTCAGTGTCATCTGATTTCTTTTTTGTGTATACTGTTTTGTTCTTCTTCCTAGGGAACCAGAGGTCCTTTTTTTTTTTTTTTTTAATCCCGGGAATCAAACTCAGGGCCTCACACTTGCCAAGCAGGCGTTGTGCTGCTGAGCTAAATCCCTGGCCTGAGGTCTTTTGTTTTTGTAGTACTGGGAATCAAATCCAGGGCCTTGTGCGTGTCACATAAGCACTCTACCACTGAACTACATCCCTAATAGTTTTACTAGGATCTGACACTTGTGAGTTAACTTTCCTAATCTCACCATGTGTCCTTACAGTATTTATAGTCAGGTGTTTTCTTCTGCAGGGAGGAGGAAAGTTCTGAGTTATCTGTTTAATTATTAATTTTGTTCCTTTTTTCAATATAAAATCCAATGCTGTTGGCAAGACTTAAACAAAAGACCTGAAACTATAAAATCCCTAAAACAAAATATGGGGAAAACTTTCATTATATCAGATAGGCAATTTCTTGGATATGACACTAAAGCACAGGCAACAAAGGCAAAAATAAACATATAGAACTATAGTAAACTTTGAAACTCCCACATAGTAAAGGGAATAAAATGAATGAAAACGTAACCTAGAGAAGAAAATATTTGCAAGACATGGATCTGATAAGGGATTAATATCCATAATATATAAAGAACTTGTATAGCTCAACAAACCAAAGACCAAAATAACCCAATTAAAAATTGGGCAAAGGACTTTAATAGACATTTCTCAAAGACATACAGATGGTCAACCAGGATACACAATGATGCTCAATATCATTTGCCATCACAGAAATGCAAAGCAAAACCTGTTAGTCTTTATTTTTAGTAGCAGGGATCAAACCCAGGACCTTGGGCTTGCCAGGCAGGTGCGGTGCTGCTGAGCTACATTCCTGGCAAAACCTGTTAGTTTTGCTACTTTAGAAAAACCAAACCAAACCAACCAGTTGGGTGCGGTGGCACATGCCTATAATTCCAGCACTCAGCAAATTGAGGCAGGAGGATCACAAGTTTGAGGCCGGCTGTGTTATATAGCAAGACCCTGTCTCAAATACAAAACAATTTAAAAAACAGAAAATACTTAAGTATTAGTAAGGATGGATGTGAAGAAATTGGAATGCTGTACACTACATTTTGTAGGAATACAAAATGGTGCAGTTGCTATGGGAAACAGTTTATAAGATCTTCAAAAAATATACTTACTACACGATTTAACAATCCCACTTATGGGAACACAAAGGAATAAAATCAAGATCTGAAAGAGATCTGCATTCCCACATCCACTGCAGCATTATTCACAATAGCCAAGACATAGAAGCAACTTAAATGTCCATCAATAGATGAATGGATAAAGAAAATGTGGTACAAACATACAAATACTATTCAGCTGCAGAAAAGGAAATCCTGTCATCTATGACAACCTGGATGAACTTGCAGGAAATTATGCATGTGAAATAAGCCAGTTACAGTGCATGATTCATCCTACTTTTATGAGATATCTTTAATCAAACTCACAGAAGCGGAGAACAGAATGGTGACTGCTAGGGCCTGGAGAGAGGAAGATGTGGGGAATTGTTCCAAGCCCACTCCCTTCACTGCCCATGACAGCTTCCCTGGGCTAAGCCTTTGCTGATGTTTCTGGGCCCTGCTACTGTGGGGACACCTCCATTCTACAGGCAAGTACTTCTTTCCCTATGGCTTAACTGATTCACTCTGGCTCATTTGGCCATCTGTACTTGTCTCCGAGGGCTGGTAGAACAAATGATCACAAACTTAATGCTTAAAACAATATTTATTCTCTCACAGTTTTGGAGATCAAAGCCTAAAATCTAGGTGCCACCAGGCCACACTCTTTGTGGTCTTCAGCACCTTCCACATGTGGCTTTGGACTCTGGCTACGTCCAGCTGGCAGCGGGCACAGCCCATCCCTGGACCGAACTGTAAGCAAATCCCTTATGACCTTACAGCTGGAGGATCCAGAGGATCTAAAGACACAGATTCTATGACAGTATCAGCTGTTCAGGGGCCTCCTGGGCTCAATTCTTGGGTGTGTTTGACACTTAAAATTCTCACTAAGCAATCCATAAAAAAGTAGGGTGATTTGTCCATTTAAGATGAAGCTGTAAGGGTATGGGAAATTTGAGATTATGGACAAACTGCAAAGGTTACAGAGTTAGCGTTCTTCAGTCTACTCATTCTTCAGAACAGCCTGAAAAAGTTAAGAAGCCAACTAATTCACAGAAGGAGAAATAAACATATAGAAAAGTTTCCAGCAAACAAAACAGAATGAACTAAAGTTGGGCCATGACCTCATTTCTGCCTATTCAGAAGAGGGCACCAGGCAGGTCCGTAGGTAGCAGAGTGACTGCAAGCTGCTGACCTTCTCTGGGCTTTTTCTCTTATTTCCTCTTACTGGTAAGAGGAATTAATAGAAGGAGGGAAGTGGCTGTTTCTATGACATAAGCATGACCTTCTTATGCACAGGAAATGCCTCCCACTGCTGGGCATTCATACAATTAAATAACTACACTGACAACTTTTTAAAGTTTTTAAAACAAAAGCGTTTACAACACTGTAAAAAATAAGTCTTGTGCCTTCTGCACACTTCTGGCCTCCAGCTGGGTTCCCTTACTGTTGTGGGAAACTCAAGCCAAACCTCATGTACAGTCAGTTCCACAGACGGCAGGCCACTACAAGTACTTTACTACAGCAATGCCTCTCTCTGTTCTCTTCAGGAGAAATCTACTTTTGTAGTCACATGTAACCACTTGTGCTGGATACACCTAGCAGAGCCACCGTCCCATCACACTGCCAATGTGGCCCAGGGGTAGCTGCTCTCCAGAGGGCCATCTGCTAGGCCTCCCCGGTGCCGCTTCCACTGGCCCCTGAGCATTTGCTAGATCCTGGGGCTTCTGAGGCCCGTGAGGCCTGCTTGGGCAGGCGGATGGGGACATAGATGTTTGAAGCACAATGCTCCTTGAAGTACTCTCCTCCCTTTTCTTCATAGTCTTTCCTGGTGACCCAGGCTTCAACATCATCCAGGTGGTCTAAGGCCCAGTCACGAGCACCATACCAGGCATCCAGCACAGGGTTCAAGGCGAGCTGAACCTGAAACAAGAAGTGAATGCTCATTACAAGGGCTCCCAGCACCAGGCTTGAATATTCAACAGGTTTAGCTACAGTCCCTACCTCTGTCCTCAGAAACACACACAGGAAGGACCCACTTAACTCCTAGATGTTGCTGGACAGTCTCTGCACCTTCTAAACTAGGCTGAGTACATATCCCGACTCCCAGGATAGCAAGCACGAATAGTGCCCCAGGCATGACCTCACAAAACAGTCGGGGCTTTTACAGTGCAAGTCCTGCCACTCTCGGTAAGGGGGACCAGCTGCCCACCCTCTTTCTTTACAATGCTGCCAACCACAAGTGTCAGGAGAGGTGAGGTGATGGCTGATGCAAGGCAGCTTAGCCATGGGAGCAAAAGCGCCACAGGGGAGATGACAGCTGGGTAATTAGTGCATTCTCTCTAGCTCACTAAGGTGCCCAGGTTGGGTTTGACTTGCAATTCTCCTGCCTCAGCCTCCTAGAGTCCTAAGAATACAGATGTGTGATACCACAACCAGTCATACTCCCTTTATCTCTCTCCTATCACCTCTTTTCTTTCCTTTTCCTCTGTCATTGCCTTCCTATTTCCTCTGCAGCTACAAATGACAGGATGGCAAGGATTAGGTAGGTGCACATTTTACCTCCTTCCCTAAGGGAGGTGAGCCTGGTAAAAAATATAAAGATAGGAAAGAGCCGGGGATTTAGCTCAGTGGTTCCACGCCTGCCCTGCAAGCGCAAGGACCTGAGTTCGATCCCCGGTACCAAAAAAAAAATAAAAGATAGGGAAAGGTTCCTGGAGGAAGTGAAATGAAGATTGGAATGAGCTAGGAAAAGTACTCTATGCAAGAAAACTGGCATGTGGAAAGGCTTCGAGGCAAGAAAAACTAGCAAGTCTGAGGAAAGAACAGCAGCTCACTATGGCTGAAGCAGAAGATGGTAGTTCTGAGATAATGACAAAGGGTTATTCAAGGTCACATCACAAGGGACCATGTAAACTGCTGAGGAGACAGGAAAGAGGGCTGGATCCAAAAGGCTGGGGAGCAGCCTCCTAACTGGTCTCCTCCTTCCAGTATTTCTTGTGAAACTCCATTTTTTTACACCAGTGTCAAAAATACCTTCCTAAAATGTAAATCTATCACACAACTCCCTTACTCCTACATGGTCCCTCATGGCCTAAAAAAACAGCTGTGCAAGGAGAGTTAAGATGGCAGACCTGCCACATATCCTAGAAAGGCCTGTTCACAAAGCATGTCCTCGGCAGGCATTAGGGAACTTAGATTTGAAGAGGGTTCTCATCATTGCCAGACAAGAGGAGCTCCTGTGCTGTTTATACAATGCGGTCTGCACTGAGCACCTGCTTTTCTTCTGGACATCTAGAATGTCAGTGTACTCCAGGCAGGGGGCGCCTATTTGATCAATCCCCCAAATCAAAAGTCTGTGCTTAAGTTTCTCAAGAGCTTCCCTGGGTAACAACATTTCATATGCTGGCCCAACTTGCTGGAGGAATTAACTATGTCCTGTGCAACTTCATTGGGAGAAGAGTCTGGAAGCTTGCACTTTATCTCTTTGCTGGTCTTGTTCTGCATCTTTTCACTATAAGTCACAGCTATGTATGATGACTATATGCTGAGGTTGGTGAGTCCTCCCAGCAAAAACTGCAATAGTTTTAGGGATGCACACACACAGACACACACACACACATCCAGCTACTTTGGAGTGTTTATACACACAGGTAACCATGCTGAGCACCTGATATCCAGGACAATGAATCCTGGCAACAGGTGCTACAATTACCCCCTTCTTACCACTGAGAAGACTCAGCAAAAGGCAGTAGCAGTGGTGATGGAGTCAGGACCAAAGGCCAAAGCCCACATCCTGAACATGTAAAACATCGTGCAGCACAGGAGATCAAGGCCAAGTTTCAGAGCAGAATGACAGGCTTTGCACCCTGTGCACCCTGCTGACCTCTCGTATCTCCTCTGACTCCAACCCTATTTAGCAGCCATATGCTCCAGCCACATTCAGTCCCCTGTCCTTCCCTCAGCAAGTTCTTATCCTGCACCTCTGCTCACTCTAACCTTTCTCTTTGGAATGCCCTCTCCAACCCCACTCAACACAGTACAGATGGAAAACACCTACACCTCTTAGAAGATTCTGTTCCAGGCCTCCTCTGCGTGCCAGTGGAGACTTCCATGGGCCCATGCTGTGTGTCCATCGCATTCTGGGTTACCACAGCCGAGACACTATCCCACAGACAGCAAGTTCTTTTCTACTAGGGGCTATGTCTAGGACATCACATCAGTATCCCTACAGTGCCCAGCCCAGACTACATTTCTTGGCAATCAAGAAATTTCATACGTAAATTGTGGGGCATTCATATAGCAGTCATTTAAGTATAGTATTTCAGAGCAATGATATGAGAAAATGTTCATGAAAGGCTATGAAAAGTCAAGTAATAAAGCAATAGACTCTCAAATGCACAGAAAACTTATGACGGAAAATTTGCCTGTAGATAGGGAAAACAACTTATTCTTAATGTATACTTTCATACTTTGAATTTATTACATGCAAATCTTCCCTTTTTTTGGTACTGGGGAATCGAACTCAGGTCATTGCGTTTGCGCAGCAGGCGGTGAAACCACTGAGCTAAATCCCCGGCCCCAAATCTTCCTTTTTCAATTAAAACACAGTAATATGCAAAACATGACTCTGATTTTGCTTCAATAACTAAATGTAGATTAAAGTCCAGAAAGAAAGCCACCAAAATGTCAACAGTGGATATATCTGGATGAGGGATATACAGTCATTTTTCTCATTTAAATTTTTACTTTTGCAATCAGAAAACAATTAATGGTGTTCTCCAAATGGTCAGTTAAAGAACAGTACCCGGAAAGAAGACTGGAAGGGCCGCATCTCTAGCAGCTCCTTCTCAATTCTGGCTTTCATCCCAGGATACATCACATTCCCACCAGTGAGGAAAATGTTCTGGACCAGCCTCTCCTGAACATCCTTTGAGTACCTAGGAGAGAAATGATCCTCTGACTTAAATATTTAGAGAGACTACAGATAGCACAAAACAGAAAACTCAAAAAGTTGAAAAAAAAAAAAACTTTCACTTTTTTTAAAGTTTATTGATACATTTTAGATATACAATATGATGACATTCATCATTGGGATCTTGTACCTTTACATAATATATCTTGGTTCTTATTTTTTCCCCATTCCCCTGCCCTCCCTTCACCCCCTCTACCCCTCCCTATTTACAAAAACTTTGTTTCTGGCTTTTTTTTTTTCCTTATCTCATATTTATTCCTTTCCCCTGCCCCTTCCCCTTTGGGGCTTATCTTCCTATTTCACATTATCTAGTATATATTTTGATCCTTATTTACACTTTCAGTTTCTCACACCAGAGAAACTATTCTGTATTTACACGTGTGTTCTATTTATTTCACTTAAAGAGTACGGCCTCAATATGCATCCATTTAGCTGTATAGTGGCTCTAGTTTCTCATTCTTTATGGCTGAGCAGTACTCCCATTTTATATACAAAAAAACCACATCTTTATCCAGTCTCCAGTTGATGGGCAATTGGGCTGTTTTCAAATTTTAGCTATTACAAACTGGGCCGCTATGAACATTGCTGTGGTATGATTCTTTTAATTCATTTGGGAAGATACTCAGCAGGAGGCTAGCTGGGTCAAATGGGATCTCTAATCCTAGTTTTTTTGAGGTACCTCCACATTGTTTTCCACAGTGGTTGCGCCAGTCTACACTCCCACCAACAGTGGAGAAGGGTTCCTTATTCCCCATAACCCCTCCAACATTTGTCACTGGTTGATTTCTTGATAGCAGCTATTCTTTCTTGAGTGAAGTGGAATCTCAGCGTTGTTTTCATTTGCATATCTTGAATGACCAGTGATGTTCAACATTTCTTCATGTTTATTTGCTGCTTCTACTTCTTTGTCTGAGAAATGTCTGTTAATTTCAGATGCCCATTTTTGGATTGGGTCTTTGAATTTGGGAGGTCTGATTTTTAAAGTTCTTTATATATCCTCTTTCACTTTTTATTCACGTCTCTAGAGAATGTCAGTCTAGTGTTTCCAATTATCTAGTCAAACCCTTAATTTCGTTAACACATTTCCTTAACATGATTAGAATGTTTGTGCTTTCATAATACATCTTTTAAAAATCAACTTTAAGATTATAATTTACATGCTTTATGATAAAGGCTGAAAAATTTACATGCCTCTGGAACTATCACTACAATCAAGATATAAACATTTTCATCATTCCAAAAAGTTCTGCATCCCCTTTGGGTTGAAAGTTCATCTTTCTATCTGTCCTTTTTTTGTTGTTTTTCAATGAGATATTGCTCTGTTGCCCAGGTTGGTCTCCAACTCTGGGCTCAAATAATCTTCCCACCTAAGGCCCTGAGTAGCTGGACCTACAGGGATGTGCTACCACACTCAGTTTCTTTTTAATAATATCTTTTTGTTATTCATGCTTAATCACTTTCCCACCCATTATTAAGAAAAAGCTCAAAGCCACTCACAGAAGTGACAAAAAGTTTTTTCCTTGCTAGATGGATTTTTCATTTCTATCCTATCCTAACAAAAAGCTGCCAGAGTACTGGAAATTATGCTTCCTACCTGTCCACTTGAATTAATAGAAACTCACACTTAGAAACACATTATTGTAAGTGGGTGGAGGAAGGCACTCTTATAGAAATGTAAACTCTTAGGGGGAAAAAAAAGATTTCATAAGCACTGCAATATTTTGGGGAATTTAAAATCACTAGTATTTAATAATGTGAAGTTTTACCTAAAAGCGAGTACATGTTACTGTGTTGCTAAAACTTTTATTGGACCCTGGAAGAGTGAGTATAGCAAAACAGTGAGAAGAGCAAGGCCGATTCCCCAAGGACCTAACCACCAAACCTTTTCAATGCGAAACTCAAGGAAATGGCTCAGCAAAGTACAAGGGAAAGAAGTGTGGCCATCTCACCTGCCCAGAATGTACTGGAGAGTCTCTGCTATCCCCGCCTGCTCCTCTCCTATGAGAGATGGCTGGAAAATAATTTCTGGAGCTCGAATTCTTTCTGTCCCAACAAACAGCTGATGATACGCTGCCAAGTTAAACACGGGCTTTAAAAACCCAAGGTTTAAGAGAGATTTTTAGAACACAGTGACAACCATCGCAGCAGCCAGTTTTCTCAAACTGCATTTCTTAAGCCAATGTACTTTCTGGCCTTTATTCATGCCTGAATAGCCTTTCCTCAACTCCCTGGACTTGATTCAGTTTTCTACCTTCACCCAACCTTTGAACTATAAATCCCCACACACTGCACCATGCCATGGGCCCCAAATTACAGGAAGGGACTTCATGGGGAGCTACACTGAAAAGGCCAGCAGGGAAGATCATGTCTCCACCTAGGGCCTGGTTTAGCTCTCCTGGTCTTTGCCCAGCAAAAACACACTCTTCCTGGGAGCCTCAGGTCAGGCGACTACTTTAACCACAGGAACAGAGACCCCAATGATGGTTAAGTTAAGCACTAGCTTCAAAGGAAATGAAACCACACAAAACCAGTTTGCGGGTCTAAAGACTCCAATTGTTCCTGAAAAGTTCGTTAGGTAAATGGTTTCTCCCAGGTTCACAGACTGTGGTACAGAAACCTCAGTCAAGCACAGGGAAAAACCCTTGACTCATGCTCTAAGTACTGCTATACCTTTTCTAGAAACTGTAACTGGGACTTAAAATATTTATCCCTAAAGAAGCAGACTGGACCAGTCTTTTATGTCCCCAGCTTCAAAGTGTGCACATGACACAGTAGCAGGAATCAAACCTGGACAGTGGTGATGGGCTTCTCTACTTCAGGTGCTTCCTCTGAAAACAAGGGCTCAAAATCATTCATGCTTTCCACGTCTTCCAGAGACGGCTCCAGCTGCTCCAGGTCAGGGGTCTAAGGACAGAACAGAACAGAATAAACAAACAGACTTGGACTCCCAGCAAGCCTTACTTCTTCTATCACTTCACTGTCATGAAAATGAATTGGGATCCTGCCTAAAGCTTACATAAAAATTATGAACATATTCTAAACTATTAAAAAAAGAACACACATGAACAGCCTAAAAAAAGCGTTCCTAGTTATATAAGCCTCATCAACTTCTGGCTCCTCTGAAGCCTTCTGATGCCAACTCCATGCTGGGCTCCATGGAAGATGAGCTGCATGCACCAGTGACACCATCACACACACACAACTCTGGGGGACAAGGCATCCTACAGAAGAGCTACACTATCACAAAATTAAACACATCTCTTAATGATTAATAAATATAGGTGCCAACACTAATGGTCTTAACAATTAGTCCTTTACCGCCAGGTCCCACTAGGCCAGTACGAAATCAGGCACACAGCAGGGACTCCTGTTACCCACACAATCCACATTGCAGAAGTCACTGCTACATCAAGTGGGAATGCTGTGGTTCAGGCAGATTAAATCATGCACCCAAAGTCACATCACAAGACAAAATGGTGGAAATTTGGCAGGGGACAGAAATGCTCAGCTCTAAAGTCTTTTCTCAGCCTTACAATGGAATCCTATAAATCAGGAGTCTGAGCATGAGGAGACAATTGGGGGTTTAGAAGTAGTAAAGATCTAGCCCAAAGTCAGAGTGGGTAAGACAAGAGATGAGCAAGAGATTTTACCTGCAATAGCAAGAGCAGCTGACATCAGTGGCAGGTTTCCCTGCCGAAGCAGGGGCAGCCAGAGTATAAGAGCACATTCCCCTTGCAGCCCACAGCTTGTGATTTGGAAGACACTCAGCAATCCTCACAAGAAAGGAACCCTGACCCCAGGAGTGCCCATGCTGATTCTGGCTTGGCACTAAACACAGGACTTCAGAAATGAGCCCTCACAGGTTCCCAAGAGAGGACTAGGGTGTATCACCAAACCTCCCTTTCTTCAAGAACACCCAGGAGGCAGGGTGGTATGACAGAGCAGTTAGGCTCTAGATGTAGTTGATCCAGCTTTGAACATCAGCCACAGACACATAGATCATTGTGGCACAGCTGGCAAGGTACGCTCTGTCTCCCTATCTTTAAGCAGGACATGAACCTGTGGCAATGTCAACCCTGGGGCAGCATCAAGTGAGCACTGAACACTCTTTTCTTCCTTTCAAACACGTAAGTCATAAGACCCCTTAAGTCAGCTGTATTACTAGGTTGGTGACAAACAAATGATGCCTGTGAATTTGAAGTAACTACAGACAAAACCTGTTACCTCTAAACAGTAATAAGCAAACCATGGGTCTCTTCCTATATACACCACTCTGCTCTCCTCACTCCATGAAGGAGACACTTCCTAGAAAGTGAGAATTTGTTTCCTCCCCTTTATTCTCAACAGGAGCTCATGATGAATCCAATCAATGAGTATCAGGTGAATGCTGTCAAGTGACTTCCCAAGGACTGTCATCAAAGGACATGCAGCTTTCTTCCACCAGGGGCCACTTCAAAAAGCCATCTATATCCCCACACATCTACCACATATCTGATGTGCTCTATTATAGTCAGCAAAATATGGTTCTATGCATCCCCCTCCCTTTTTCAGGGGTACCCAGGAGAGTGGGAACTCTATCTTAATCACCTCTGTATCTCCAGTGTCCAACCAAGATACTGGACCTGGTACTAAGTGGTGGGTCCCTGAGATCCACCTTCAAATTCCCCCAGAATACAGAAGATTATAAAACTTCGGATTCTGTAAGACTTCTTCACCTACAATGAAAATTTCATCATTCCTCTCTGTCTAGCTACAATTTCTTAGCTTCACTAGAAATTGTCAAAGGAATATTTACTTATCATAAATCATATGATTCACAGAGAAGAACAAAGCTAGCAATTTCAATGCACAGAACACTCATTCAATAGAGAAGAGACTTCTCTACCATGGCTGGCTTTTCTCCTCGAGAGCTTGCTGGTGAATCCGCATGTACCATGTGGTGTTCAGGAACATTGATATGACTGTTCTTTTCAAACTAAACAGGGTGAGTTTGCCAAAGCACACCAGAGAACTTTCTGTATTTGGCTGTGTTTTCCAACAAATGATGATGATCTAATACTGTGTTCTCCCCTTCTGCCCTCCCATGCTGTGCTTACAGTTATGAAAAGCAAGCAAGTACCCTCTAGTTTAAATACTTCATTAAGAATGCTAACAAAGCCTGCTCCTTTACAACACCTCACAGGAATAACTTCAGTTAGAAAGGACCAAAGCAGATCAGTCTGGCTGGGGATTTAGCTCAGTGGTTCCGGCACCTGCCTCAAAAGTTCAATCCCTAGTACCAAAAAAAAAAAAAAAAAATAGATGCAAAGCAGATCAGTCTGCAGAAAAAACCGTTAGGAAACACTGCAACTTCCCAGCCATAGTACTCCAATCCAGCCATTATTTCTTAAGTGGAGTTTCAATATGAACTTAGGTCCACAGACTGTACATCCATTCACTTCATTCTAAATGAATTATGTTGTAAAAATACTACAGATACTTTTTAAAAGGTAGAACTGGCCAGCCAATGTCATGGTCAAATCCATCCCATGAGTGTGACTGTAACTGACTCTAATCACTAATAATCACCCTCAAAAAATGCTGTCTCATCATTAAAACTTCAAAGCTAGATCAGTAAGACAAATCTGTATACAGAGAAAACTTCTGAAGAGTAAAATTTCAAAATCTCCCCAAGGCCATGGAGATCTGCTATGTGTCACCAGAGCACAGAACAAAATGGGTACTAGGATGTACCTGTGAATGGAGAAGTAACTGAATCACAGCATGTAACAAATGCAGAGAAATAAAAGAAAAAGAAAACCTAGTTCCCCAATTGCTCAGGAATCACATCTTCACAATTGTTTTTTCCTTTTTAAATCTGTTTATTTCTTACCACCTTGTGGCTTCAGGGTACCTCTCTGGTATAAAGAAGCTTATGTCCTATTAACATGTTAAACACAGTAAGAGCTAACTATGGATGAGTATATAACAGAGACAACATGGGTCTGGATCTGCATAAACTGCAGCTCTGAAGCATAAGCCCTATCCTCAGGCATACCAGGATGGAAAAGAGGCAAGTAAACAAAACACAGACCCCGAGGTTGGGAAAAGAAACGAAAAGGCAGTGACTCAAGGGAAGCTTTTGTGGGATGCTATGGGGGAATGAGATGCTAGCAAATGCCCCTTCTCCCCTAGACGGCAGTGATCCAGTAAGGGCAGATACCTAGTAAGCCTGGCTCAGGGTCTGCTCTGTAACAAGTGCGCTCATGGCCAGCTACTGTTCTGGCACAGTCCGTAGCCTGTCAACAGAGGTAGGGAATTCAAGACTAGGAGCAGGAACTACAGAGAAACTCCAGCCAGGAGCCAGTGCTACAAAAGTGAGCTTCATGTTGAGCCAAAGACAATGGTGACATCACTGATATGGACCACACTACACCCAGCATCAAAAGACACTGACTTGGATTTTTTACACTACTATTTCTTTCTAAAAACACAGGCAAATTCCAGCACTCAGAGCCTGAGACAGGAGGATTGGCAAGAGTTTGAGACCAGTCTGGGTTATATTCTGAGTTCAAGCCCTGCCAGAACTACATATTGAGACCCTGTCTCAAAAAAAATAAATAAATAGACAAACAGACAATCACGTTTTTTAAAAGTTAATTTAAAAACAAAAAAAAGAGCTAATTTGGTTAATTCTGTCTCAAACATGTCACGGGCAATGATTAAGTTCCTTTGTTTTGAAACTCTAAGATAACCAATCCAGCTCCAGATCTAAAGACAGGAGTCCCTGTCAGTTACTTCTGCACTGAATGACCTGCAGGCTACCCCATTCACCAGACAGGCCCCAAGGTGTCAGGATCTAAGTTTCCCAAGGCCTGAGCTCAGCTCTGCCACCTGCACTTTTGGCCATATCAACAGTTAACAGTCCACTGCCGGAGAATAGAAAGGAGAATAAGAGAAAATCAAAGAGCTTATTCAGAGTTAGTCTTTAGTCTCCAACAAAAAGCTGATCTTAGGTCAACCTACAAACATTATACTTCGCATATCTAATTGCTGTACATAATTCATAAACTATGTGTGGAGCATGAACTCTGTCCTTAGGGAATGTCAAGACAGAAAAGAAGTAAGTAAATGACCAACCACACTATTTTAAAAACATGAGTTAAAGGCAGACAATGACTGTCAAATGACAATCAGGGGAGCAGGTTCAGGATCAAGACAGCACACAGTATAAATGTTCTCCCTTGTCTACATGCACATATTCCCCACCAGAAGTGAGATCCTTCTAGTCAGAACTTCAGTTAGCACAAGGCCACTGCCATTGTTCCTGCTAGGCATGCTCCCAGGGACACCGCTCATCACATTGTTCTCCCTTCCTTCCAGGCTTGTTCACAACCCCTTCGATGCCAGCCTTCTGGAGATACTCCTCCCCTTCAGAAGGGCAGGTCTCCATCCCAAGGCCCTCACAGTCACCTCTGGCTTGCTGTCCACTACATCCACCTCGAGGTTGACTTCTGCTTGAAGGATCTTCTGCTTTGCCTGCTCCACTGACAAATTGAGCTTTTGTATGTAGGACTGTAGCTCTTCTGGGGAGTCCATGTTCAGCTCTATCAGAGCTTTGTGAAACTGATCCATCTGGCCATCCTCCAGAAGCTCCTGAAAACCAGAGCAGTCACAAGACAGTGTAAGCACAAGCAAGGAGGAAACAGAAGAAGAAATGCAGCAGGAGGGGCTGCCTGGGCTCCCTTAGCCTGACCACGACAGAATCAAGCCTCCAGCTCCCACAATGGTTCATACAGCTGCCCACCTCTCCAGCTGGCTCTGGACTAGCATTGCGAAACTAATCTATGATGACAGATGTCAGAAATATTGTCACCTTTGGGGCAGCAATTATTGACTGAGAGGAGACAGAGTGAGCCTGGTGATGCTGTTTCTCTGACAGCAGACACAGGGGTGTGAAAATTCACAGAGATACACACTTAAGATTTGTGTGCTTTGCATCATGCATGCTACACTTAAAGCAGAAAGCCAAAAAAGTAAAAGTAATTATAAGGCAAAAACAAATCAATAAAGCTGGAGTCCATAGCTCTTTCAGAAACACTTGCTGCTATGCTATACTCTATTCTGATGGTAACAATTCTGACAATCCCCTTGGACTCCTTTTTAACCCCAAAGGTGACTTTCATAGCTGATTTTACAGTTGAGAAAAAATACAGTGCGAGAAAATTTCCTTAGAACCACTCTGTTGAGCAAGGCCATCTGCCATCACCTGCACGTAGAGCAGCCGGTCTAGCCGCTCCTGATCCAGCTGCAGCTTTTCCTCCCGCCGCCGGGCATTGAGCTCCTGCAGCCGCCGCAGCTGCTGCTGCCGCCTCTCCTGCTTCTCCTCAGATGTCAGAGTGCTGCCCAGGAGCTTGCTGGAAAATGGGAGCTGCATCTTGTGGACATTGTCCTCGTAATAATCTGGGTACTGCCACTTATGCAATTCTTCAAAGAACAATTTTAGAAGTTATGAAATGGAAACACTATCAACACAAAAATCAAAAAGTCAATACCAGTCTAGCATGCAGAAGGCCCTGGGTTTGATCCCCGGCACTGCAAAAAAAAAAAAAAGGAGGGAGGGTCAGTCCCATGATTCTAGATACAGGTAAGATGAAGAAAAAACACTATTGCCAATTCTGAATCCATTCAGTCAACTAATGTAGCCATAAAAACTGGACATCATGGGCTGGGGATTTAGCTCAGTGGCATAGCACCTGCCTTGGAAGAACAAGGTCCTGAGTTCAATCCCAGTACCAAAACAAACAAACAAACAAAAAACAACAAAAAACCGGACATCATGCCAACAGGATTCTTCTAAAAGAATTGCTAAACGAAATTCTTTAAACGGTAGTCCTACTAGAAAGAAGCCTGGAATATCAAGAATAAAAGAACAATAAAAATGACTAAAATTTGGTAAAATACAACAGAATAATCTCATTGTGAGTTCTTTAAAATATGTTTGATGACTGAAACTAAAAATTCTATCACTGCACTCTAGGAGACTGAGGCGAGAGAATCACAAGTTCAAGCCAGCCAGGCCAACTTAGTGACTCAGCCCCTTAAAAGGGCCTGGAGATGTTCAGTGCAAAGGCCCTGTGTTCAATCCCCAGTACCACAAAAATAAATTATTTAATTTAATTTTCATTTAAAGAAAGAAAAGAGAAAAAAACGTATCACTGACGGCTTCCAATGTGTGCAGATATAATACATAACTCCAGCATACAGGATGAAGGGGATGAAGGATGAAGGGTCCTGGTGCTAATATTCCTACATTTTGCTGGAAGCAGTAAATATTGATTCTAGGTAGACTGAAAAGTCCTATTTACTGTAATCTCCAGAGTACTTAAACAAGAGCAAAAATACAGGTAAGAGTAAAAAACATAACATAAAAACTAGAATGGAATAAAACCCAAATAACCTAAAAAGTAGGAGAAATAAAGGAACGATAACCTGAGGAAACAACAAAAAACAAATAATAAAATGATGGACCTAAGTCCAAATGTGAATAAATTAATTCTAAATGGTCTATAATATACCAGGTAAGAATGATTTAATGGACTTTTAAAAAATGACCCAACTACTAAGGAACTCACTTTGAATACTGTGATACCGTAGATAAAAGGTAAAAGGATATAAAGATGTGTCATATAAACCCTAATCAAAAGAAAGCTGGAGTGGCTATACTAATGCTTGAATAGACTTCAAAGTAAAGAAAATTGCCAGGGGTAATGAGGGACATCACATAATGATAAAAGGTCAACATGGCAACTAGATATAAGAATCCTAAATATGCACCTAACTAGAGTCAGATACCTGAAAGCACAAACTGACAGAACTGGGCTGGGATGTGAGTCAGTGGCAGAGCACTAGCCTAGTACATGCAAGGCACTGGGTTCAATCCCCAGGATAAGAATAAAAACAAAATGCCCCAAGAAAACATACACAAAAACAACAAACTCATCGAACTGTAAGGAAAAATAGGGACATCTACAATTCCACCTAACAACTCAATATACTTTCCTCAATATCAGCAGAGCCAGAAGAAGGGAAATGAACAGGGATGTAGAAGAGCTGAATATCACTACCAACAGGGTCTAAGAGACACAACAGAACACAGCACTCAGTAGAAGCACAATACATGTTCTTTTCAAGTATATAAGAAACTTTTGCTGAAGTTGACTAAGTCCTGGGTCATAAAACAAAAAACTGATCTCAGACAAAGAAAGTTCTTTGACTATATTGGAATTAAACTAGAAATAAATCATAGAAAATTAACAGGAAAATCCCCAAACATTTGTACACAAAGCAATACTTTTCTAAATAATCAATTGCTTAATAAGTAGTCCCAAGAAAAATTAGAATATATTTGAATTCAATAAAAATATATCAGAATTTGTAGGATGCAGATAAGGTGGTACTGATAGAAAAATTCACAGAATTAAATTGTTCTAAAGAATGATATAGGGCCGGGGATTTGGCTCAGTAGTGCTGCCACCTGCCTCGCAAGTGCAAGGTTCCGAGTTTGATCCCCGCTACCAAAAAAAAAAAAAAAAAAAAGAATGATATAACAATTTAAGCATCTATTTTGGAAACAAAAAATGCAATTAAAATAATAAAGAGAAGATATCTATGAGGTTACCTGAATAATCTGTGTCTATTCAAGAAATAAAATTCGTAGTTAAAAACCTTCAGAAAAAGAAATTTCTAGGCTAGGATCAAATGGTATGTATCACTGGAAAATTCTATCAAATATTTAAAGAAAAAAATAACTTCAATTATTTACATAATCTTTTCAGAAAGAGGGCATTTTTCAACTCATGAAACCATCATCACCCTGATGATAAAAGGTAGTACAAGAAAAACATATGGGAAAGTCCATCAATACAGACACAAAACAACCCATGAAATAGTACCAAACTAAAGCTAGCAATATATAAAGAGTAGTATACATGAACCAGTAGGCTTATCCAAAACAAAACAAAAAATCAAGGCTGATTGCATATTTAAAAAGCACTCATTATATCCCCTAAATGAGCAGTCTAACACAGAAACAATTCAACAGCCTTTAATTTTACTGTTAAACATACACTTAGTATATGACCCAGCAATCCACTTATGGTAGAGAAATGAAAACTCACATTCCCCAATAAATTTATATATGAATATTTACAGTAGCTTTATCCATAACCACCAAAAAGTGGAAACAAACCAAATGACCCTACATAGATGGACGGATAAACTAGTTATGGTACTCTCATACAACGGAACACAATTCCCCAACAAAAAGGAAAAAACTATTAAAATGTACGATTTGGATGAAACCCAAAGACACACTGGTGAGATTAAAAAGACAGTTTCAAAAGGTTATATTCTATTTGACTCCATTTATATGACATTTTGGAAAAGAGGAAACCATAGTGACAGAGAACAAGTGAGTGGTTGCCTGGGCTTGGGATGGGGACAGGATATGACTACAAAGAAAGAATGAAGTTTTTTGGAATGACAGAGCTGTTCTGTATCCCAATCGTGACAGTGGTTACATGGATCCACACACAGCACTATACCCCACAAAACAAGCCAATGTCAGAGCACCTTCAGAATAAAGAAGCAGGAGCAGAGAGCTCTGTGTGCTTCCTCTGTGTTATCTGGCAAGCACCTAACTCTCTGGACTTAATCATTCATTCGCTTCATTCACTCATTCATTCATTCATTCATTCATTGTGCTATGGATTGAACCCAAGGTCATGCTAGGGAAGCCAAAAGATGGCACAACAAAACCACATAGCACTGAGCTACACCCTCAGCCCCATGAATTGTTTCTTTCCATGCCTAATTTCTTTGTACACCAGGAATAACAGGTGCTTAATAAATGCCTTCTGAAGACACAGTTCTTAACCACTACTCAACTATACACTTAGAGATGCTTAGGATGGTAGATAGTAGATTTTGTGTTCTGAGGGTTTTGCGGCTTTTTTTACAATTATCACACA